AGAGACCCCTGAACTATCCAAAGGAGACATCAGCAGCTTGGAGGAAGATGGTAGAATGGAGGTCGTGAGCAGCAGTCAGATTCAGCCTAAGTTCTGAAGTTGAAATCAAGAAGGTTTTTTTTTAAAAGCAGCATTTTAAAAATTGGTATATGTTTGTGGTACATAAAAATTACATTCATTTTTGGGGAAATTGGTGTGCGTGCACACACACATGCACGCACGCATGCGTGCACGCAGTATGTCGATTATTTTTCATCCCTGCCCTGTAACCTTCGCTTTTCTCCTTTCCCCTCATCTTCTTGCACATCTCTAAAAAGTCTGCCTTCCTGTTCCTTACCATCTCTCCTTTCTTTTATTCTTTATTTATATTTTGTGTTTCTTATATCTGAGAAATTATGCAATATTCAACATTTGCAGTCTGATTTATTTCACTTAGTATCATGGTCTCAAGATCTATCCATTTTCCTACAATGACCTGAGTTTCATCCTTCTTTGTGACTGCATAGTGCTCCATTGTGGATATATACCACAATGAACAAGATTTTTGGTTTGATTGCTAAGTCAGGAGAAAGGGTTTTTTTTCCCTTTCTCCTGAACAAGATTTGTTGCTGGGTGTGATGGGTTGTGAAAAACAGGGGTCAGCATGACTCTTAGAGTTTTGGGCTGAACAATTGAAAGGATGGAATTTGAGAGATGAACTGATCAAATGGGTGAGAGACAGGATTTGGGGAGATGGTAAAGTGTGCCTGGCATTCATGCTGCTCTTCACCTGCTGGCCCAGGATGCTTCTGAGCCTGGGCTCTTCCCAGCCAGCTCATAATCCCAGGGCCCCGTCACAGGCTGTCTTTAAAGCTCAGCTCAGCTTCCCTTCCTGCCCTTGTGTCTTTGGGGAGGGATCTGCTATTATGATGTGGTTGCTGGCTGGTCTGGAAGGTTCCTTGGAGCCCTCAGCAAGTCAGGATCCAGGTGGGATGGTTGGGGAAGGTTCGGGCCATCGCTTGTCACTTCCCCTGCAAATGGGCTTGATGACTGGTTCCCCGCAGCTACTTTGCTGTTAATTGCCGTGACTTGTGCTATCATGAGGGAAACAGTAATTAGCAGTCTTTATAGTTAGGGTATATGACGTGTGACATGGTATATATCACATAATAAATACATCATAGAGATGTTGCTGAGAGAGGTCATTGAGACAGGTCATCTAAAACCTTGATTCTGGTGAAAGGTCTTCCCTTTGTGATTCGGTATTGATGGCATAGTTTAGTATATTAGTCCATTTCCCATTACTATGACAAAACAGCTGAGGCAGGCTAACTTTATTTAAAAAGGAGGTTTACTTGGCACACCATTTGGAATGCTGAAAGGTACAGGTTCTGATGAGGGGCTCTCCTAGACTGTGGCATGGTAGGTGTGCAAAGGGAGAAATCACATCACCAAAGAGGAAGCCCAGGGTGAGTGGTGGTCCACGGTCCCTCCTAAAGACCCTGGGGACTCCCACTAGGACCCATACCTCCAGGCCTCACCAACTCCCAACGCTGCCACCTGGGGACCAAGCTTCCAGCACAGAAACTTTAAGGACACAGACAACAGCCAAACCCTGGCATTACCCTGGGTGTGGGCACTGCAGAGTTTCCCACGGAGATGGGTCACGTGGGGACCTTTTAGGCATGCTGGCTTCGGCTTAGTGTCGCTAGCGTGTATTTCTAACGTTACCTCCAGGTGAAGATGCTGCCACTCTCACAGGTCTCAGGACCGCATTTCCAGGGCGTAGTTCTTGTTAAATTGCAGGACTCTCTTCAGCTTTTTATTCTCTTAACAAAGGTGTTGGCGCATGCACCCTAAATACTCTGGAAGAGAGTGCTGCGGTGTTTAAAGTCTGTGTTTAAAATGTTAGCTTTTGAAAGGCATCTTTCTTTATTTTTTAGTACCTTGGAAAAATTATTTATTTACAAGCTGTTCAGAATGAATTTTTATCCATTTTTGGAACCTCCCCTCCAATAAAGATGAGGGGTTATTAACAAAATAATTTTTGAGTCATTGCATTACATTTTTTGTTTGTTTGTTGTTTTTCTTCTGGTACCAGGAATTGAACTCATGACCTTGCGCTTGCCAGGCAGGCGCTGTGCTGCTGAGCTAAATCCCCAGCCTCCATTGCATTACATTAAATTGCCTACTGGGTTGTCCTTCTAGAGAGAGTAATAATGAAGATTTTTAAATAGAATTTGAGCTTCGGTTTATGGAAGAATTGAGAGCATTTGGTTTCCTCAGACTGCTGTTTTATCAGCAATTAAAGAAAAGCTTTTTGGGGTTTTTCTAAGATAAAATTCAATATATCTGTATAGCTCTATCTATCTATCTACCTATCTATCTATCTATCTATGTATCTATCTATCTATCCATCTATCCACCCATCTATCTGTCTATCCACCCATCTATCTATCTATCTGTCTGTTTGTATCTGCATATCATAGAAAGTTTTAGGAAAATTTTAAAAAGCAAAATAAAAATCACGTGTTATTTCCACCATGAAGAAGTAGCATATTGGTATTGTGTGTGGGTGTGTGTGTGGGTGGGTATGTGAGAGGCTTGTGATGTCTGTCTGGCTTTGGCATCAGAGTATTGCCAGCCAAATGGAATGAGTTGGGAAATATTATTACCTTTTTAATTGTCTGGAAGAGTGTGAATACAGTTACATTATTTCATCCATAAAAATTTGGTACAGTTGGCCAAATAAATGTGATAAGCCTCTATCTAGGCCTGATGTCTTCTTTGTGGGAGTGTTGTCCCTTCCTTTATTGAGTAACTATAGTTGTTTGTGTCATGGAATTTACCAGGTGGTTAATTTATTAGCACGAAGTTATTTAAAAGATTTCCTTGTGGGGCTGGGGATTTAGCTCAGTGGCAAAGCGCCTGCCTGGCAAGTGCAAGGTCATGAGTTCAGTTCCTGGTACCAGAAAAAAAAAAAAAAAAAAAAAAAAAAAAAAAAAATTTCCTTGTTGTCCTTGTAATATTTATAAGATCTATAATGATGCCATTTGTCATTTCTTATATTGGTACTTTATATCTTCTCTCTTTTGCATGTACATTTCCCTCAACTATCATTTCAGTATTTTTGCATACTTTTTAATCTTGCTGTTTTTTTCTCTACAACATACATTGTAATTTATTTTAAATTTCTTTTTTCATCAGTGTATGATATTTAGAACTGTGTTAGTTTTTAAATATTTGAAAGATATTTCTGTTGTTAATCTAGAATTTAGTTCCACTGTGGTCAGTGAACACACTTTGTGTAAATGCATTCAGGTATATTGAGAATTGTTTTCTGACCTAGGATTAGATCTGTCTAGTTCATTATGAACTAAAGAAAAACAATGTGATTTATGTTGGAAGGTAGGGTATTCTAGAGGTGTCAGACCAGTGTTTGGTTGATAGTGTTCACAGGATTTTTTGAATTTACATGTATTGTCAATATATTGAAGAGAAATATTTAAATCTCTGGTTCTAATTATGGGTATGTCCACCTCTTTTACAGTTCTGTTTTGGCTTATGCATTTTGAACTTTTTTTTGGACCATTAGGTCTCCTTAATCAGCTAATCCTTTTATCATTATGAAATGACTTTGCCCTTATTATTGTTCTTTGTTCTAAAATTTCTTTTGTCTGATATGAATATGATCACTGCAGCTCTCTTGTGGTTAGTGCTTGCATGATGTATCCTTTTCACCTTCCTCTCTTTTTTTCTTAGTACTGGACATCAAACCCAGGCCCTCATGCATGCTCGAAAAGTGGTCTACCACAGGGCTATGTAGCCAGCTCTCCCACATGTCTTTTTACCCTGTCACTATCTTTATATTTATGTTACTATTGTGCACATTTGTAGGCAGTACATAGTTGGGTCTCACTTTTTTTAACCAATCTGATAATCTGTGTCTTTTAACTGGAGGTATTAGGCCCATTTATATGTAATGTTATTATTGATATGTTTAGGCTTAAGTCTGTAATCTGTTTGTCTTATTTTTTCCATCTGTTCTTTGTTCTCTTTTCCTGTTCATTATTGCTATGTATTATTATTATTTTCCCTTTTATTACAGTGATATTTTCTAATGTTCAATTTTATTTCTTTTATTGGCTTATTACTGGTAACTTTTTTTTTTGTCTTTTTGAGACAGGGTCTCACTATACAGTTCAGGCTGGCCTTGAACTCACTTATGTAGCCCAGGTTGGCCTCGAACTTACAATGATTCTCCCACCTCACCTCCTGAGTGCTGGGATTACAGGCATGTGCCACCACGCCCGCCTGGTAACTTTTTATTTCGTTATGTTAGGGTACTTTTTTTAAGGTTCATACTATACCTACTTACCTAGTATTTTATAGGTGCTGAATAAGTACTTACTGAATGAACAAATGAATGAATGAATATCTTCCTGATGCCCCAGCTGCAGTGTAGCTGAGAAGCAGAGGCCCATGAATGGCCACTAGTTCAATGTTGTCTGACAATTATTCTTTCCTAGCTTTTGCTTTTTCTGTTTCTCACTCTGCTTTTAGTGGATGTGGCTTTAATTTCAGGTCTTGAGGCTAGTCTCTCAAGGTTATGGATCTGTATTCTGTCTACCCCCCAGCTCTCTGATGTTTAAGCAAATCTTTAGCCTCAGGCAGTGCTTTTCCTGAGCTCCTTGAAAGTGTGTGGGTTAGAATCTCTGGATGGAAGAGCCTGTGGCCTTGGCTTATTGTGGTCAAGCCCCCCAAAGCAACATATCCTTATCAGGAAAAGCAGATTTTTATAAGGTACCAGATAGGAAAAGAGCTCAAATGAAATGGTCTAAATTTAACTTTAGCTGATCTAGGCAAAGCTACACACATGGAAAGGAAATTAAGGCTTAACAGATTTTCCTCATTCTTGGAATGCTACCAATTTTTCAAGGTTGTGAATATTTAAAAAAAATTGAATGTTCTAATTAAAAAATAAAAAATTATGCTCTTTTTTTTTTTTTTTTCTTTTCCAGCAAGTAACTGGCAGAAGTTTTGGCGATAGAGATTTTCGGACTGGATTAGAAAATGGAATCCTTCTCTGCGAGTAAGTATAGTCTACATCCCATTAGTTTTATTCCAGAAGCATTTTTTATGCTGTTCAGTTTGTCTGTAAAGGGTCTGGTTTTTTAATTTTTAATTTATTCACAGTTTGAATACAAAGCTCAATAAAACCTCAGCAGGAAACACAAGTTGATGAGCGAGTCTTGGTGTAGGATGGGGCGGGGGTGGCGCGTGGCAACTGCCAACAAGACGGAGAAGGTGTCTGATAGCTGCTGTCAGGTCCCGTCCACATGTACTGCAAAGAAACTTGGGCCTAGGTGATTTAAGGATGTGGCCCTAGTTGTCATCAAGTAGGAACCTTTTCTCTCCCTTTAAGGCCCCAGACAAAGCCACCTGGCACCAAATGAAAACAGTGCTTTGATGCACTTACACATCTTAAAAGCACACCCGGTGATGCTCCTCACCAGGCCTGCTGTCGCGGATGTACTTTCGACCATGAATAATTTGCACTACTGGCGAAGTTCAAATGTGGATGATAACTGCAAAGTTTAATTTTTGTTTTGAAGGTAGCTCTGCTGCAGATCACTGCTATGATGGAAGGAAGAGTTTTCTGTGAAGTGGTTCTCAACCCAAAGCAAGCAAGAGTCTTAGTGTTTATAGATTTGTGTGGACAGAAACTGCAAACCAAGGTTTCAAAATTTGCGTTTATTGAATAGGTTCAGTAATTTGGGTACTGGTTTTTGTTTTATTTAGATGTACATCCAGTGAAGTATACAGCTCCTAAGTGTGTGATTTGATGGGTTTTCAAAACGAAACACATGTTCTTTCAAAACATGTGTACATGTGAGCAACCCACACCCTAATCAAGACATAAAACAGTGCTCTCCAACCCCCTCCCTGTTGCGTCTCCGTGCCCCAGAGACAAGCATGGTCCTGATTTCTTTCACCATAGCATCTCCTTCACCTTCTCTTGAACCTTACGTAAATGGAATTACAGAATGGACGTATTGTGCTGATTTTTAAGATACTGGTTTGACGCAGATGGAAAGGCATGGATTTTAGAGCCCGAAAACTGAAAACTTGAGCCCTAATTTCTTCTCTCAAGTCTTAAACCACCTTGATTCTCTTCTTTCCCCCACATGGTAATAAGAGATGTACACTCCAGTCTGCAGGCTTTTTGTGAACATCGGCACCGTAATGGACAAGGTATTTGCAAGGACTGTACAGTGCTGTATAAGTGTTTATTTTGCAGAACCTTTCAGCACTGTCCCTGTCAGCACTTTCCCTACCTTTGCATTGCCTTTCTCTGCTCAAAGAACTACTGTTTCCACATCCTCTTTCTATGGACTCCCCCGACGTCTCCTAGTGTCCTTCCTCAGCTCCTCTCTGCCCTGCATTATGTTCAGATCAGAGCTCACCTGCAGGGAAGAAGTAATTAGCTCGGCACCTCCTGACCATGGGGTGACAGGCTTCAAAGACTTGCATTCTGTGCTTCTGATGGTTCTGCGCCCAGCTCTCTACCAACTGCCAGGAGCTGATCTCATTTATGTGGCCATGCTGTCAAAGCTCACTTGAAGCAGATCTTCGGTACCAATTTTTGCTCACTTGTTTATTCCTCAGATTCTTGTAGGTATCTACTTTTCCACCATAAGCCCATGAATAAATCTGTGTGGGGGGATGTTGCCTACCTAGTTTTGGATTCACTTGAAGACAAAATTATGGCTCTAGAGGAATTTACATGCAGAATTTGTTTCTTTCTTGGCCAAAGATGCTGAATTAGAGGACGGCGTCTCCCTGTGTACACAGTGGCACTGTCTGTGGATGGGTCTTTTACACCCTCAGTAGTGAATGTTAGGATGTTGAGGTAGAGAAGAGGTGTTTAGATGGAGGCTGTGATTAGAAAGCACCTTATCAGAACAAGATAGTCAGGGGCTTCTTTATATAAAGAAAGGTCGTGGACTGCTGTAGCCTGAGGACAAAGCTGAAGGCACCAGGAAACATGGCAGACACAGTCTCTGAGTAGGAGGACAAAACCCAAGACAAGTGAGTTATTGTACAAATCCTCTAACCACGGAGGAGTAGACTTCCTGGTATGTTAGAAGAAGTAAGAGTTTTGGAGTCTGCGGACCAGGGACTAAGTCCTGACTTCCCCAGTGTGCCTGCAGCCAGCAGCTCTGGCAGAGAGGAGGAATGAACCACACAGGAAGCCTGAGTCAAGGAAAGCCAGGAGCAGGAGCCCCAGTCAGCCTTGGCGATGAAGCTTGGTCAGGAGCCAGGGAGCCAAGATTTAAGCACGTTTCTAAGTGTAGGACCCATGAAACCGTGAAACACCGAGCCATGACCCGGGTGCAAAATGCAGTGAAGGTGGGCGACAACGGAGAAAGAGCGTTTCCTTCATCACCTTTATAGCTAGGATTGGTCTGAGCTAAGAGCGTGGGGCTCCCACAGACTGTGATTAGCAGGCACATTTTCTGGGACTTGTACCTTGTGGTCAATTGAGGGAAAAAGGGACTTGTACTACTCCGGAGATGGAGTTGGCTTTTGGAAGGGGACAAAAGGCAGACGACTCAGTCAGAGAGTCTTGGGGCAGTTATGGTTCGCAGACGGTGGAATTGTGCAGATTTCAAACCCCTGTCTTTGGAGCGTAGATGCGAATGGCCCAGGCTGTGCCACCCTCTAGAGCCAGAGTTCTATGGGTGCTGCCGAAGGAGTCCTAACTCACAGATAGCCCCACCTGTGCTGCAGCGAGGAGACTTGTAAGAGCTCTGTGATTTTAAATTGTGAAACCTAAGAGTTCAGCTCTTCTTAGAATAGCCTTCTTCAAAAAAAAGAAAAAAAACTGTTCAGAGGAGTCCACCTCGGTGTGAGTCAAAATAGAAGCTCCGTTGGTGTTGTGTATGACCTGCTGGCAAACCCACAGGCAGTTCTGGTGGGTGTTTCTTTTTCTGTCGCGTTTTTGTCTGGGTTGGATCCCCTGTCAACGTTCGTTGCAACTGTGTACAGATCCTGTGCTCTTTGCTCATCCAAATGCCTTGGGTTGTGTATGAGTCTGGAAAAAATCTTGTTCTCATACACAGAAGGGTATCTTCTGGGTCTAGGGTCTGGTTTCCCTTTTATTGGCCTAGATTCAAACTTCCCTGTAGCCTATAAGGTGCTATTATTACACCCATTTTACAGAGGAAGTAACAGAGAATTAGCTCACTTGGCTAAGGTCACAAAAATAAGAAAGATTTAAATTCATGATGTTTAATTCCTTAGCTTTGACTCTAGACTGCTGTCCTGTTTCTCAAACTGGGGTTTTTATGGGAGAGAAAAGCAAGAGGTTGAGGGATGGGGCTGGAGTGAGACATTTGTACCAGAAAACCAGGAGAACTGAGAGAGGGCGGTGTGCAGGCTAAACCACTGTGTCTCCATCTCAGCAGGGCAGAGGGGTGAGAGAAGACGGGGTGGAGCTGCTATTCTGGGTGAAACGTGAGCATCAAGGGCCTGGGGGTCCCTGTGGGGGTGAGAAGGTAGCTCCCTAAGAGCGAGGGCGTGGGACAGCTGCGCGAGAGTAGGCTGTGGTCAGCAGAGGGTGCAGGGCTTTCCGTGTTCTTCAAAACCTAATGGAGGTAAGGGAGAGCAGGGCGCCTGGGCCAACGACTGGAGACAGAGGAGAGAAAATGGGCACCTGCAGGCAGCCCATGAGACAGAAATAAATAGCATTAACATCACCCTGGGCATCTTTGGAGTCGCATGGCTTTGGGTATGCAACCCTGTACTGTATGTGGCACTTACGCATGAATGTATAACTTACAGGAAGTGATAGGCAGTATAACATAGAGAGCAAGTGCCTCACGGAGTTATCACAGATGTGTTTTTCTCTCAGCATCCCCCCTTCCTCTTTTTTTTTTTTTAATGTCTGTCTAGTGAAAGTTTTCCGTTAAGTGCTCAGATGCTGCAAGCTTTCCACTGAGAGTTTAATGAAAGGTTGGAGGCAAATGCGAGAGTAATGCAAACGTGTGACAAGCGTCATGCTCTTAGAAACAGTAACCAAACCCTGCACTGTGCTCTTGAGAACTTACGGGTAAAAGTGCCACCCGGAGCCAGTCTCTAAAGACGCTGTTCCCAGGGGGAGGCAGCCGAAGATACCCTTCTAGTCCCTCACCCAGAATAGATTGTCTGGAGATAATTCTAGAAAGGGGAGTTTCTGCCGTTTTTCCTGAATGATGTTATTGTTTAGATAGAACTCTGTGGACTTTACATGTAGATAAGAGGCTGGCAAGTTATGGCCTGTGGCCTATTTTTGGACTGGCCTTCTTGCCAGGAATGGTTTTTAGATTTTTAAAGGGTTGTAAACAGAACAAAACAAAAAAAAAAAGAGCAAATATATGGCTCACAAACCCTAAAATGTTTACTGTCTGGTTCTTGACCGAGAAACTTGACCAGTCCCAGAGGGCTATGGAATTAATTTTAGATGTAAATTGTTTATTCTTGTAAGGTTAAGTAATCAAGTTTGGCATCATGCTATTTGAGTAAATTGAATAACTTTTTACAAAAGACTCACTCAGGAGTTTCTTTACAAGGTTTCCCCACAACTACTTTTTTTTTTTTTTTTTTTTTGTCTTGTTGAGATAAGGTCTTGCTATGCAGTTCAGGCTGGTCTTGAACTCACTTTGTGGCCCAGGCTGGTCTTAAACTCACAATGATCCTCCTGCCTCAGCCTCCTAAGTGCTGAGATTACAGGCATGTGCCACCATACTTCGCTTCCCCACAACTTTTTATCTAAGTAATTTTAAAATTGTAGAGAAGTCACAAGAATAATCCATATAAGGAATACTCACATATCCTGCACCCAGATGCAGGAATTATTCTCATTTGCTCATATGTACTTTATTATTTATTTGTGTATTTATGCTTTTTCCTGAGCCTTGTGAAAGTAAGATGCAGACATTTAATGAAGTTCAACTCCTAAATGGTCCACATGTATCTCCTAAATACAGGGACGTCTCCCAACATAACCCTTCAAGACTTTTCACAATAATATAGTAATGTCTAATGTAA